TCACAGCACGCCATTCTTGATAAGAGAACTAACTTCTATCACACCACAAATTCCACAGATTGTTTAGAAGTTATCTATATTACACATTGCGCAACCATCGTAGTTTTTTAATTGAGTTTGCTTATGAGAGTTTTCACTATTGTCACTTGTCACTTTTTAGGCCTCAGGCCTGTGTCCTCCCGATTGTTGGCTCGGGATGCTTGGCAAGAATCAGTATCTCATCACTTTCGCTGGTAAGTTCGTTTTTCTGACAGTAGAGTATCGCCCTGGGCTGCCCGTGGTACAATGAGTTAAAAATATCGCTCGAAGATGCGCTTTGCCAACTACTCTACTGTAGAGGCAGCATGAATTAGGGCAACTTGAACTTTGATACAGCGATTTAAGGAAGATCCACAATTTATCACAAATCACATTCATTTCTATTTCCTATGGCGTACGTAGTAGCAGTAGATTAAGTCCTACATTTTATATCACATTAGGACTAAATTATTACATAATAGAACTAAGAATCATCGAAAACAATAAAAAAATTCTATCACGTAACATCGTGAATAGTTATTGACATTAGCACTAATTATAATTAGTGTCAATAAATTCAGGGATAAATATACTTTAAAAGTGTTAGACCTTGGAGCAGACCTTTACTCTACTAGTGTCACACTTAGGTTTCAAAAATATATTGGCTATTAAATAAACAAAAACATGCTTATACAAATTACTCATTATTGTACTACTCGATCTTGTTAGGATTAAACCATGTAATTTCAATATTATCATATAATATTTCGTCCTTTTTCTTTTGGATGACAGAGTAACAAAGGCAAAATAAAACTTATAATAGAATATTTGCTTTAATATAACTCTCATAGCTAAATTTATCAATGGTACCTTAGGGATAGGTACAATCTTAATTGTTATTTAGAACGATAATCAACGATAAGAGCATCAGCCATGCACGAGCCGTTACTATTTTCTCTATCAGTCCAGCTTGGGGAGCCAATTCTGTAGTTGAACTTGCCAGCAAATCTAATATAAGAAAAGCAGAATTCATCACAGACAAGTCATCAGGGGGTAATTCGCCTAACGGAAATGCTTTGGAAAACGCTAGCGCTTACGATTTTATTTTGTTATTTCTAGCCGACAGAGGTTTTCAAATGCCTCGCGCTATTTTTTTTCTTTTGCATTGGTAATAACAATATTAAAAAAATGAGCGTGAGGTATTTGAAAACCTTCGGCCGGTTCATTCCGGTTTCGTCGGTCAGAAATAACAAAATAAAATCGAAAGCGTTAGCGTTTTCCAAAGCATTTCCGTTAGGCGAATGGCCCCCAGGTCTATAATGGTAACACTGCCAATCTATGTATATAGCGGAACTGGTAAGCCAGTAAGTAAAACGGATAGACTAATCAACATAAATAGTTAATTGGGCTCAATCTGGTCTTGGCTGTCTGCTGGATATCAGGAATAAATTTCGAAATATCAATACATTTTCTGATGGAATATAACGCGGAACCAGTGTTGTTTTACCATATTTTTATATATTCGGCATTATTCTAGTAGATTTTTAATTCTTAGGATCTTATTTATTGTAGTTTATCAATTCCATTGAGTGACTACCATGATAACCCACCATGATATAACTTAGCTTGGGTTTTCAACAAATTGTTTCTTATTTAAAATTCCGCTTACTTTCTTTAATCCCTTATCCATATTAACACTAGTTTTTGATTATAACGACTTATAATATTATCATTTTATGTTTTATTTTAATGCCGATATGATTATTTTATCAGTCAATGCTCCCACGTAATAGGTTTATATTGAAAATGCTATTAGACGTGAACTCGTGTCTATGAAATTGATTTATTTTTATTTCTTCATTATTATGTAGATGATAATTACTTATGTCGTTGTTAGGTTAAGGCTTAAGGCATTAATATTACATAAACATTGTTAAGGATATAATGTTCTCACAATGTTAGGCTATTTATTTTATCAACATCAATTTAAGTCTACTTTAGATAGTAAAAATAAGACAAAGAACCGTATTTTGCTACCGCTGCTTATTCAATTAGGTCATTGCACTATGAAAACGTGAATATTTACTAAACTCTATTGAGCTTTAAGAGTTAAATGAATGCCATAAAATGAACCGTAAAAGCAAGCTTTACAACTTGCGTATTCTTTTAACTACCATGGTAGTCGTATTCCTATACCAGTAGGAACCATAACTATGCCAGAATCATGTCGAACAACTTAATTAAAGTTTTAATAGTAAACATCACAGATGGTCGGGCTTCATCAATTGGCCAAGCAAACTAATGCGTTCGTCCATAATAACGGATATCCGATGGGACGAATGAGAGACTAATACATAAAGAAAAAAACAGCCCTTGCTGAGTTTCTTGACGGTTATTCTCAGAAGGTCTCTCGCCGCTGATTTACGAATCGAGGGTGTAGCTGCTCGATCTTCACAATTGGTTGTAAAGCCTAGACATAATAAATGATTTTTGAACTTGTCATCATCATCATACTATTAATGCTCCACTGCTGGGGCTCACGAATTTTCTCTACGGATGGAATATGTAGAATGGGCCATGATGGCTCACCACGTGTTCCCAGAGCAAATTGATGGCTTCAAACGATTGCATATTCAGACGGTCCCAATAGTTTGACGTGGCTTCCATAGTGCGGAGGAGCTCGAGACAACACATTTTTGCACACCCATACTATAGCAAAAGTTGCTTTATTCCACCATCGCAGACTTCTAACCACTACCGAAATACCATCAAATCGAACTTTTATGAACATGTAAAACTTTAAATTGTTAACATCACAGAAAGACAACTCGACTGCAATTCGTCCATCCATGGTCACGGATACCCAATAGGACAATTGAATGAGAATGTATGGTAACTATACTCGTTAATAGTGCATACAATTTACATAAAATGTGCCGGGTTCTACGTACACCGCAGTTTAAATACGGATGTGCTCAGAAAACCGCAACCTTGCGTATGCATAGCATACATGCAAGTGCAGTTTTGTTAAACTGTGGCAGTGGTAACTTAGAAGGCAAGGTAGCGCCATTTAACTCAATTTATTATGATCTTTTTCATCATTTAACTGTTTTTTTTTAGTATCTTTTAGTCTCTTAATTACATACACGTTGTACAGGGTTTTTCAATGGGAACAGGGTATCTTTGACAGCCGATGGTGGATATATTAGATCGTCTATTAGCGCAACTTTTTGATACATAAATTATTAAAAGTTAAGAGCCGATATGATATTTAATAAATCAGCGCTATTAAGTTGAGCAACGCGTTGAAATCATTAAAAAGTTTTAAATTAATTGGTTTTGACAACAAAACAGTAGTTCAATTCATCAAACGTTTCGTGCGTTACTCTCTCTCTCTCTGGGGTCGGTCCCTTATTGTCTGAGGATCATGGTCAGCGTCAGGGTTGCATCTGGAGAGGATGATCTTTTTCCACCGGTTTCGGTCCAGCGCCTCTCTTACTAAAGCACAAAATTTTGATGAGGGCGAATCTTTAATCTGGTCGGTGCAATTTGTTGGAGAAGGACAGCGCGATCTTTTTGCCTTCGGTTTTCCCAAACATAATAAAAACAGCTTTTCCAAATTTTCATTGCCTCTGCGCACTGTATGGCCGAAGTACGAAAGAATACGTTGCCGGCATAAGGTGAACAAACGAGTTTTTATGCAAAGCTGGGTCAGGGTCGACGCATTGGTGCGTTTTGCCGTCCAAGGTATTCTCAGCATTCGTCTCCAACATCACATCTCGAATGCATCAATTCTTTCTCGGGCTAAGATAGTCCACGTTTCGACCCCATACAAGAAGATAGGGAAACCAGAGCTCGTATCAGTCTAATCTTGGTTTTGACACCAATTCCCCTTTTCTTCCAAATGTTGTTTAGTCGGGACATAGCATCTTTGGCCATCCCAATTCTTCTTTTTATCTCGGGGATACATACAGCTGCCGTCATTGTTGATTTCGGAGCCCAAGTAAATGTAGTGGTCGACGGTTTTAATCCCATAAATGTTGCAGATCCCGTTGGTTAGCTTTCCGGCTCGATCAACTATGTTATCGTGTGTTACTAGAAACTTAAAAAAAACAACTCTTTTTTATTTCAATTCAAATGTCTCCAGATCTTATAGAAACATCCTATATAAAACAGGCAATAAACAGATCAACTACAAAACTCTACATTGCGCGTGGCTCCACACGCACTTTGATGATCTATTGAAATACCGACACTTATCTATAACCAATGTGCTGACCAACACTCCAATAGGTACCTTACATATGCTCTTATATACGATTGTGAATATGGTTTTGGCCGGTACGATGGTGGGGAGGATGACCAATATGTAGAATGAGCATTATGCACACGATTATTTCCGAGATGGGTGGTTAAATTGGAGCGAATAAATCGTCCTAACTCTTGAAAAAGCTTTGTCGTTAGGTCAATTAAGCATATGAACCGCTTGATTGTAAGCAGCTGCTATAGCCTATAGACGCTTTTAAAAATATCGCTCACGCTGTTGCGTACTTTGACCCCTTCCCCTATATAGTGGAGCATTGGATCCTTAATCACCAACAGAAACCCAATACCACCTATAGTTAGTGTTTTTTCAGTGAATTCCCTTGTAAGGTGGAGATTACTTCCCTAGAAGCTTCAATTCGAGTGGGAAATCCTACCTGCCTAACCTGTTTTAAAATGATCTTTTTTTTTTAATTTCGAGAAGAAGGTTGCAGTGCTACACGGTTTGTGATATTTCTGTAAGGTGGAGGTTACTTCCCTAGCACAATAACTTATTTGAGAGGGAAATTGTCCAGGAACTACCTATCTTAAAATGATATCTCTCTCTCTCTAAAAAGTTAATAATAATAATAGTTTATTTGCTAGGATCATAGTTTGTTGTTGTTTGGAAAGAAGGTTGTTGTTGTACAAGATAGATATGCGTTGACAACTTTACTCACCGGTTCTAGAAGGCTCTGTTCGTGTAACGTGACGAGCGGCTTCTCTGGCTTCGGCCTGGTGCTCAGGTAGAACGCTGACGCAGCAGCTACCCCCGTCAGCGCCAAAGCGCCGGCGGACCCGCCGACCATCCATAGGTACTGGTCTATTTCACTCACTATGGACAAAGAGAAGAAAAATATAAATTGGTCGTAATACAAAAAATAACCCTTAACCACTACTTACCACTACTATTATTGATTAAGTTTTAATCACCGCTGTCTACAGTACTGGCTGTCGATAGACTTTATCTACGCAGAATAGTTAGTACGTTGATATTTTGATGTTTTTGGTACTGAGTTGCCATAAATTAATTACCTATAAGGTAACAGAGAATTGGCATCGACAACATTTTAGGTCACCCTTCCGATCAAACGTTTTGAGAGATCGTTGCATTTTATGCCATTTCCATTTCAACAAAATAAATAAAAACAAATGGGCTCATCTTTTGGCTATAAATAGTACGTACTCCCAAAAATAACTTTAGTACCTACATAACAAGCAAAATTTTCCGGAGATTTAATAGTGACCTACACCACAGTGCGCTTGAAACGATGCACATCTCAGAATAGTTAACAACTTACTTATCGCAAATTGTATAAACCATTAAGCGATATGTCGAAACATTAATTTACAATGTTGAATTCAGAATTCACTGACCGCTACAATAGCATGATTAATAAATTGTCACTACTATAAAAGGTGATGTGGTAATGGCAGTGTCCATTATATTTGTAAGAAAAGGATAATGGTACCAGCATGTAACTACTTTGACTGTCAATCAAAATATTTTCAACAAGATTAATGAAAATTGACGCAACTTTAGAAGTAGTTACCTACTCGTGCAGTGTCTTCCGTACCTACTGAGAAGAGACGAAGGAAAATCATATTTCATCATGGGTATAAATGAAATTAATCGTAAGGCTAAAATAAGTTAATTCATTACATTGTTTGCAACTTGCAATGCAACATATTTGGAGACAAACGGCTCTTGGAACTTGAGTAAGATTACTTAATAGATGTAATATTATTTAATCGATCGACTCATATTCTCTGTCTACATTCAAAGTTTTATTGCTCTTAATAAAAATCAAATTATACTTATAAGAGTAATAACCAGATTCTTATTCCTAATGAATGGATTGGACCCAAAAATTAATTCTAATTATGTTATTTATTGAGCTCACGGTTTGCATGGGTGCAAAGCTAAATCAAGAAGATCTATCTATTCAGGAACCTCCAAAGGTAATGTAGTTCACATTTTAGATTACTAGGTACCAGTGATCCGCTACAGCTTTGCACGGGTGACCTTCATTTTAACGCAATAAAATATAGACTTTGTAACTTGGAGATAATAAATAAACAGTGAAAAAAAAATAGATTCAGTATTTGTTGCGTTTGCAAATATTTCCTCTTTATAACATTAGTATGGACTATAAATATTTCATAAATGGTATGTGATGTGATTCAGTGGAGTCGTGAAAGGTAAGTCAACATACAAGGAAACGTCGCCGGAGCGGTGACTTTCATGCAGCAGCCAGCAGTTCCTGAACTATAAAATCCGTGTCGGTCTCACCAGTTTAGAAAGTGGAAACAGGGGGGCGCGCACGAGTTGCGGCCGCATTAGCGCGTAGATTTCTCGGGAATCTCTCGCGCTTTCCACTGACACACTTCTGCAGAGATATTTATGTGTACCTATATAGGTATGTGACATTACTTACATACATTTATAGTAAGCTAGGAGAAATTCTAGGCAAGCTAATTTTTAAATAGTTCAACATGACAGCTGTATGCGAGACGTATTTAATGACACGATGCATAAGATCAGTATCCCCTATTTTTATCTTCTACGTCCACTTAAGGGTTTCATTTACACATTTTTAAACAAAGTATTACGGTTTTATTGTTACTCTCATTGAATGGTCAAAACCACTGATCAATGGTTGTGACAATTTGAATGCGATTTTTTATAATGCAGTCATGTTACGAAAGTCTATGTCGAAATCAGCGTTTAGAACATTAGAAGGGCTCACATATAATTTGAAGGCGCCGACTAAGGTCACGTAGCTGGCCTCGATTCCCTATCGCCATTGTCGAAGGTTCTAGTTGGTTTCAAAATTTAGGACCTTGGTGCTGCAATTTCTCTTATTGTGAATTCAAAGGGCGTGGCCCGACTAGTGGCCCTTGAAGGGTTTCCTTTTTTAAAGTAATCTTAATTAGCTTGCATTTGGCAATATTGCAAACAATCACTAGAAAAATAATAAGATAATGGGATATAAGTTCATATTATTTAACTACAAAAACAATTGCATGAATTTTAAAATTTTAATTGTGATAGGAAGCAGTATAAGATTTATAAATTCTTTTATTAGAACTTTATGTTAAATCATCAATGTGTATTACGTGTAGTGTATCAGGACGTATTTAATATAGAATATTTAAAACTAGAAATATTCATAAACAATAAGTTGAAAATTATTGATAAGGGGTCCGGAAGTTACTATAAAAACATTGTTACTTACAACCACTGCATTGGTTCCACCATATCGGCTTTTCTGGCTTATCAACATCAGTCTTCTGTTTTTCAGTCTTCTTTAGTTTTTTCTGTATCTTGCGACATTTTTCCTTAATACTAAACTCAGTCTTCAAATCACTAACGAACACTTTGTCCTTCTTGGCCATAAAACCAAACTTTCCGCTTCCCATCTTGCTATTTTTACACTAGGTCCTTAATACATCATAACTCGCAATAGCATTTTCATTGGCGCCTGGATCATAGCTGAATGGTTAAATACTTTTAATACTTATCGCATTATTACAAAATATAAATACAGACAGTGCTCGATTGTCGTTAAGATATTCGATATCGAATTATTTTGTTGCGGAATGAATTGAAATCCATAAAACTAAAAGGTTTTATAGACTTATCTTGAGAAGGCTTTGGCCTTGTGAGGTTCATTAACATTATGGGTCGATAACTGAAATGTAATCTTGCGTTTGATTCCATCGGACACGTTATCTATTTGTGTTCAACGAACTGATTATGAATCCTAAATTGTTTTGTCACATAAAAAAAGTCTGATATACTAGTCCATTCATTTTTACAAGTTATCAACCACCTGGACTACGGTTAACTTTAGTTTACAATAATTACGACAAGCAGCATAGTAATATTTTGTATTAACATATAAAATATATTTTCGTCTAGTCACTAAGTCTAAAAAAGTTTATACTTAATCTGGAAAATATCGTAAAAGGTATGCTCACGATTTGTCTGCGAAAAACATTATCATTTGTGTTACCATTCAAGTGAATCATTCTAGGATTTTCTGCTCCGACAGAGCAAAACAAGGCGTCAAGTATCGTTTGCAACGATTCTCTTGAACATTGCCCTAGTCTGCAGTGATAGTTAAGTATGAAACTCTATTTGCGGACAAAAAAATACGTCCCGCAAAAACTAACCTGACTTATTTGACGTTTCAATGAATTTATTATTGGATTGTTCCGTATTCATCCTATAACGTCATCCCATATCCTTACTCATCCTAAACTAAAATTCCTTACTCAACCCAAAGCATGGTTCAAGTGCTTAATTTATAAGTTTTGAATTTACCTTGCAAAAAATCATATACTTTTATTTAGCATTGGCATTAAATTGCTAGATTTTACTAAAGTAAAATTTTACCATAGAAAATTGAACTGACTAGATCGAGATATAAAATTTCAACTTCTAATTTACGGTTACAATAAAATTTCATTTTATTTCTGACATATAAAGGAAGGGCTTGACTTGAAAATTAAAAAAAATGTCTAAAGGTATATTCCAATAACTATCTGGCGTTTAGAGGGATACCCATTTATAATAATGGTAAACTACAAAAACAAACAAAAATTTTTAGGAAAGACGTCAAGCCACGGATAATACTTTAACAACCAGTTAATAAAAGTGGATGAATTATAGTGTTCCATTAATTAAACGTCGCTCTGTAAATTTGTAAGGACTTACAGTAAGTCTATGCACTGACATTAATGGTTGATGGTTCAATTTAATAGAGTAGCGGTCCATGATATATCCCGAGATTGCACTTGATATTTAAACCCATTAAAACTAGCCCGGAGTAAGTTCTCCGTTCGTGGTAGACATAAATTAGATCGAACTTCATCGGCATTTGTAAATTATGTTATAATTTTTTTTCCTCGTATTTCTAATAATTCTTAGAATTCACGATGAATTTCTTTATTACCTCGATTTATTAGTCTTAGTTGAAAAACTATCTTAGTAATGAGCAGCTCCACTCAGACCACCAATTACATCATCCCTTAATCGTTATGGAGCTTTATAGTTAAAACAGCTTTAAAAGTTTTTAAACTCTAAGGAGTTGTTATTATGGACAGTAAATATTTACTGCGTCTGCGCAGATTATTGGTGCACTGTACGCGCTATATACTTTTGTAATTGCTACGTCGACCATCCAATGCTTTTATTATTGTCAGTTTGTTTTAATTAAAAACAACCAATTTAAAGCCATAACAATTTGGCTAAATAATCACGTAGCTTGCTGAGCTGTGACTAAAACATGCAAGTTCGTTACTTATTTACAAATTATTATAATGAAGATGCTGTAGTACGCAAATGCATAATTATGCACCATTTACCATTTATTTACATTGTTATGCCTTTAAACCATGACTAGCGACCATTCGCTACATCGTCTCCGTTATGTTTTGAACCCCCGTTTTACCCCAATGGTCCGATAAGATCGTATAAATAAATATATAAATCAAAATCAATCACCCCTTTAGTGAGTGAGTTTTGAAAAATCCTTCTTTAGCGCATTATCTCGCTTCTATATCATAATATACGTGTGCCAAATTTCAGAGCAATCCTTTCATTGGTTTGAGCTATGTTTTAATAGATCAGTCAGTCACTAACGGTTGCCTTTTATATGTACAGATGTAAGTGCATTTACACATTCGGTAGACAAAAGGTTGTATGTCAGTAATAAATCCTTATTCTCATCTTAGACTTCACATCACTCATGACACAATTTGTTCGTCTCAAAGATAGCTCACATTGACGACTATCTATAGAATCTGCAGTCCTAATCCCTAACACGAGTGCGAGAAGCAAGTCGACCCAATAAATCAAACACTGAATACAATTTATTGCTCTATCTAGCCTTAGTTTCTTATTCGTAGAGATCAAATTACAGTTAGTGACCAGTCTGTAGCTGTTCAAACATATTCACATAGATGTCAAACTACCTAACTACCTACCTACAAAAGGAACCCAACGACTTGTTTGTTAATTGCTGAGTTGAATCAAATACGCACAATAGCAATATTTTACGAAACAAGCAGAGTTAAACTGGAACGCTTATTATTGAATATTGCCGTTTGGGACTTTGGGATTGTTGCGAAACTCGTCATATTTTATACGGTGGCATTAATTGTAATGTATTTGACAAATGTTGTGGAAACAGTAATTTTAATTTAGAGTTTTGGTTTGCACACAAATGAAAAAATGTATGTGTAATAGTTATGCGCTTGTTTCACTTAAGGGTGATTGTAATAAAAAACTACAATAACGTAGAAAATATATTCACATTATATTTTAGAGATTTTGCTGATCGAGTACCTACAAACAAGGGACAAAAGAATCTCCATACTAAGCTACCAGGATTTCGTTGCGTTTTTCATGCTGTACCTACCCATACATAGATGTTGGTTGACTATTACATGATAAATGCTGTTGAAGTGAAAACTTCTTCAGTATCGTTGTGACTTGAAATTCGATGAAACGGAAGTAGAGTAATTGACACAAGATGGTATGAAGGTATTCGTAATTTTATCATTTACTGTAAGATATAAATAGCCGAACGGTAACGGCTTAGGGTCAACACCAAATGAATGGTGGTTCAATCCTGAGCACGGTTATTATTATTTTTTTCTTTTCTTTTATTAAGCTAATATTTAAGTATGGAATATTTAAAATTGCCCAGTATATTACAATATCTAAATAGTTAGGTATTAAACGTTTGTGCCTAAGTTGTTTATTAATACAGGCTTGGTTTATATCAACAATCCTAACTTTTCCAATGTTTGCATTTTTTTACAGTATTTTTTATTAATAAATATAATAATAATAATTCGAATTTCGAAATAAAACTAAAATAAGAAAAACATATCTGAATAAATAAAATAAAAATAGCTGGTAACAAATAAAGCCGCGGGAGGCTAAAACACTTTTACGTGTTTACATTTTTGTAGGTTTTTAATTGTAACGCAAATAAAACTATGATCTTTTCACATCACTGACACGGGCAAATTGAGGAACATGTATATCACACTTTAAGATTATATAATGAGAAAAGAGCGTTTGCTTCGAAATTGGGGTCATTTCGGTTGAAACGTTCACCACGTCACAATTTTTCGCGGAGCGCGTACTTCAAACTGATGTAAAAAAATCTAAAGTTCAGGGAGCACTGCATTTTTATTCACAACACCATCTAACATATAATGCTTAACTAAAGAGACCACAAGCAGCGATATAGGCCAGTCATTAAAGCCCGGAAATAATAAGTAACTTGCTGAAATTTTGAGGGTTTTCGAAAGAAGGTAAAATAACTTACCGGGTAATTTTGCAGCGTTCTGGGGTGTACGGATAGGGTTAAAAAGGGGTGAAAAGTGTTTTTTGTTCAAAAAATTGCCAAAAAAATTAGTAATACGCTGCAAATTTAGAATAATGTTGTTTTTACCGTTTTGTAACGTGTATTAAATTTGCAACGTTTTGCAATATACGGAACATTGTTTATTATTAAAAAAAACAATGAAATTTGTTAATAACAAGGGTAAAAAAATTAGTAACACGCTGCAAATTTGCAATTAGGTTGTTCTTACCTATTTGTAACATCTATTAAATTTGCAGCGTTTTGCAACATACGGAACATTGTTTATAGTCAAATCAATTAAAGCTTAACTTTGCCATTTTGAGTTGATCACCTGCAACAAACGCGAAAATTTCCGTAAGGGTTCGTAGATTATTATACTAAAATTGCAGGGTGCTGCATTGACGGCAAAGAGTGCAAAAACATTGCGAAATGGTGCAAAAACGGGTTATTCGTCAATATCTCGCGACTGGCTTGGGAAAATAGAAAAAGTTCCAAATACAAAGTTGTAGAAAATTTTATTTCCTACAAAAAAGGTATCAACATATTTTCGCGTATCTCCCATAGTTTTTGCACAAAATGCAAAAAAAGGTCTACGCTAAAGCGACCAACTTCATGTTGTTAAAATTTTGTGTTACAGTGATGCGCGCGCATCTTAAAATTTCACTCTCATCATTTTTTCATAACGCGCCTAAAGAAGTATAACTTCAATAATTATATATTGATACTCGTTTTTTTCCATTTTTTTTGTAGCAAGACTGGCATATAAGCATGCGTGCTTTAAATAATCTAACCTTGAAAATAATTTTAAAATTTCTTAGATGGAGCGTGCGATCGCAAGTACATTTATGAAACTTGGTGTCTAAGTAATAAAGCTAAACTTGTTTGCGAAAAATACAATAAATTAAATAGTATATTAATATTTTATTTAAAGTGATTAGTTTAATATGGTATTTGAACATAACGCACATTTGTTTTTTTTTCTTTTATTAAGCTATTATTTATATTTCGAAGTAATTTAAGTACAAAATATTTAATTTTGACCTTGACAGTGAATTTTTTATACAGGTGTTCAGATTTTTGTAGGTTTCACTTCTATAGCATGTGAAGA